TGTCCGACAACAGCTGCAGAGCACCTCTACAATGAAGCGCAGATTAGAACGCGTTCAAAAATTGAACGTTTCTTCGGTGTTTGGAAAAAAAGATTTCCAGTTTTGTCTATTGGAATGTATTTTCGTACACCTGACAAAATCTTTCTGTTATTATTGCAACGGCAGTTTTACACAATATTATCCAACAAGATAAAGAAGAAATAAGAACCAATTCTGAAGCATATAATAATGCTATTGAATTAATGCGAAATGTGGATAATGCTAATAGAAATGTCACTGATGTACGTCATAAAATAGTGAAATATTTTGAAAGGTTAGTGTTCTTTAATAATTAATGTATGTACTTTAATAACTAAAGCTACTTTAAAAAAAATAACAGGTTAATTTAAAGCAAAATTTGAAATGTAAAATACAATACGAGGACAACACAATATGAAGAATTTCGAAGGATTATGAAAGTCAATTATAAGGCAAACGATTTTACTTAATGGAAACATATTAACTGGACTTTGAATGATAAAAAGTTATATTTTAGTTTGTATTTATTAAACTTATGCATATATTTTGTACTTGCATTTGCATTGTATACAAAAAACAAAATATAGAATAAATATCCTACAATATTTTGTACTTTTTTTCACATCATGCATTTTATCACATTTCATTGCATCACATAAAATCATCACATAAACTAAACAAAAAAAACGTAATCCTTTTCTTCTTATGCATAAAACAAACAAAATAAAATTAACATTTTTATCTATTACAATTATAAAAAATATTTTATAATTAAGTATGAATATCCTTACGTATTTCAAGAGTTTAAATGTAAACAAAAACAAATTATTATTGAAAAGAACATCAACTTAATGTTAACAAAATATATTAATAATATTGCAAAATTGTTTGTAACATTTTTGACTTATAATGTAAAAATACCCCATTTTCCTTCTACTGTTTCTTTTGTTCCTTTTTCTTTTTCAATAAATATTTTTAATAGTTCGATTTTAAGTTTTTCTTTCTCTAATTTAGCTTCTAATATTTGTTTCTCATACTCATTCTTTTCCTCTACATTCATTTTCAGAGTATTTGCTAACTCAGTCTTTACTTCATCTAATGTTTTCTTTGAACTCTGACCGCTATATTTTATTTTTTTATATGAATTATCCGATGATGATGTTTGCATGTCTTCATCTTTCAATGGAGAACTTAGTTTTGATTTTAATTTTTGTGGGTCCCAAGATTTCCAGTTATTAATTTGTTTTTCTTTCATTAAATACTACAAAATTAAAACAAATTCAATCTTTGAAAAATTAATATATTTCTTATTGAGCAAAGTAACCTTGCAATGTAACTTACTAATTATTACAGTAACATAAAAAACATAACTTACCGTAAATACTTCTCTATCATTTTCATCATCATCTATTTCCACAATGTTAGGTTCAATAGTTATATTTTCTTTATTTGTGGCATCAGAATCAAAAGGATTTTCTAATCCATATACTGCTGTTTCGCCCATTATTTCATTAACACGTTTTAACAAAAGATTTTCTGGTATATTTACTATTCCTCCACCTATAAATGTAATAATAATTTTAAAGATTTTTTAAATTTATATATTCCTAATAATAAATTAATACCTGTCTTATAACTTTCACGCTTCAAAGTTGCACAATATTTTCTTGCTGCTTTTTTCAGATTATCCCAACAGTAACGTAAAGCTTTTTCTGATCTTTTAATTGTTGTGTTTGCATTATATTTGTTGGTAATATCAACCCATACTTCATCCTTTTTTACAAGTGTTGAACGATCAGTTTCTTTGTTTTCAATGACATCACGTTGTAAAAATATTAAATCTAATAAAGATTCTTTATCTGCACCAGAAAAATTCTTTTGCCTTTGCATGTTTTAATCTGTAAAAAAAAATAAAATTTATAATGTCATTTTATATTATATAAAGAAACATATTATATAGGTATATTTATATTACCTTTTAAACTTTTTTTCACATGTATAATACACTGTTTATTGCTTCCCACAAATTTCAGGTTAGAGCCAAGAGGTTACGAGAAAATATGTGTCTGTTGGTCACCCTACTAACTTTAACCGTCGGTTAATCTAACCGTGGTTGGTGAAATTGGCCCTTAGGTCCGTTTCCACCAACGCAGATCAACTTTAATCTCGGTTCAACTTAATCTTTGTCTTTTTCTAGTTCTAAAGATTAGAAAAAGCCGAAGAGTAAGTTGAACCGAGATTAAAATTAATCTATATTGGTAGAAATGGGCATTAGAGTCGATTTATCAGAGAGGTGCAAGTCATTATGACAAAGGTGCTAAGGAGAGTATTAAACATGGCCGACATGCTATAAAACTGCCTTTAAACTATGTCAAACAAGATAAAACGTATAGGATAATGAGAAATAGAATGTATAAGATAAAATGAAATAGAAATATGTCACTAGTACTATAAATGGCTGCCAAGTCATGCAATTGGTTAGATTG